CACGGAGACATCCGGATGTATTAGACATCGTGCTCCCTAGGAACGTCAACTACCCGATAGTGGTAGAAGTGCTGTACGACCTCTCCTCACAGCACCTCCCGATTCTGATAACCCTTGGCCTAAAGGCGGTGACAACGCCGCCCAGAGCATTCAAGACACGTATCGACTGGAGGCTCTATTGCCAACATCTGCAGGAGAGACCTCCAGTCCACCAGCCTATAAGCACAGCGGACGACGTAGAGGCCGCTGCTACTAGAATTACCAGGAACATCCAGGAGGCCCTCCACGCGGCCTCTACGATCGTCCCGATCACAGTAAGGCGAGACGATCTGCCGAGAAAGATATGCGTGCAAATCAGGCGTAAGAGAGCGTTGAAAAAGCTCTGGGCGCGTACTCGCTGCCCCAGGATAAAAAAGCAACTTAACACCGCATCGGAGGAACTGTCGGTTGCAGTCCAGGCCTTCAGAGGAGAGGCCTGGGACCGGCGCATCTGGAAGGCGGATGAGCAAGATGTGTCGCTCTATAAACTGAACCGATAGTTGACCAACACCAGACCTCCCGTTTGCCCGCTGATCAACAGCGCGGGTGAACGTTGCTACGATGCCAAGGGCAGAGCGGATATCCCAGTCGAGCACTTCGAGGAGCAATTTATGCCGAACCCTGCAAGTGCGGAGTTCATGGAGCTTCATGCCCGTAAGAAAAGTCGCGTACAGGAGTTCCTGTCGTCGCCCGCGCCGCCTCTTGCAGGAGAGTGGTTCATCCCCCCGCAGAATTGCGGAGGACAGTAACCCGCCTGCAACCGAGGAAGGAGACGGGGCACGATGAGATTACCAACGCCGCACTCCGACAGCTGCCCAATAGAGTCCTAGTAGAGCTTGGTCGACTCTACAATGGGATATTGCGGACATCCCACTTCCCGGAGGACTGGAAGAAAGGCAAAGTCATCGTCTTGCCAAAACCGGCGTAGAGCTGCCAGCTACAGGCCGATCACGCTATTACCGCACATAGCTAAACTGCTAGAAAGATTGCTGCTAAGACGTCTCCGTCCGTGCATCCAACTTCGGGCGGAGTAGCACGGATTCAGGAGGGGTCACTCTACAGTCACACAGTTGACTAGAGTGCTGCACCTGCTTGCGGCAGAGTACAATCGTGGCTGCATATCGTTGGGCGTCTTTCTCGACATCGAGAAGGCGTTCGACAGGGTGTGGCACTCAGGATTGCTTTACAAGTTGTACGAACAGACCAGTGCCCCTCTTGCTATGTTGCGGCTAGTGGCGTCTTTCCTGAAAGACAGGAAGTTCTACGTCTGCGTAGAGGACGTCGAGTCCGCAACCAGATCCATCAGAGCCGGCGTTCCACAGGGCAGCTGTTTGTCTCCAGTCCTGTACGCGGCTTATACTAACGATATCCCAACACTGGCAGGAAGGCTTCAAGAGTGGGAGGACGACGTTGAGCTGGCGGTATATGCGGACGATAGCGCCTATTTTTCCTCGTCCAGAAGAGCCCACATAGCCACTGCCAGGATGCAGCGTCTGCTGGACCTGCTGCCACCATGGCTGGACGAGTGGAGGATGGTCGTCAACGTTGGTAAGACGACCGCTCTGCTCAATCGCCGTCTCAGGAAATTTCCACCTCCGCTGACCCTCAATGGCCAGAAGATTGCGTACTAGAAGGCCGTAACCTACCTTGGGTGCAGGATCGACAGGAAGCCGCGCATGACCGCGCATGTCGACTTCGTCGTCCGCAGAGCTCGATGTGCGCGGGCGACGATCTTGCCAGTCCTAGCATCCAAGCTGCCTATTAAAACCAAGCTCCGGATATACAAGATGTATATCCGGACCATCATCACCTACGCTGCTCCGGCCTAGTACGCACTTCTGAGCGACCCTCTGAGGCGGCGACTGCAGGCCCAGCAGAATCTGACATTAAGGACGATCGTCGAAGCAGGTCGCTACGTCCGGAACGACGTCATAGCGGCCGATCTAAAGTTCGAGAACATCACCGACTTTGTGGCCCGGCTGGCGCGCGGCATGTTCGTCCACGAAAAGCTCATGTAGAGCCTTGTGGAACCTCCCGTGGAGCTCCTTCTCCTTCCATACGGTCTCCCGGTCGGAAATGCTATGCACTCCTGGGTTCTGCCATTGCTTGCTGGCTAAGGATAGAGCGGTAAGCCTTTTATCACTAGAAATGACGTCCCTATAGAATGGATCATCCGATCTCGCCAGGAAGTAATCACGGAGGCTGCGCACTTTGCGATTATGCATGGTGAGCGCGCTTAGGAAGCCACGCCCACCATGCTTTCGCGGCAAGTACAGCCTCATTACCGACAATCTCGGATGATGCATCCTACGGGACGTCATTGTAGTGCGGACTTTTCTATCCAGGGCGTTAAGTTCAGTCTGACTCCACCTGTATGTCAAAGGTATACATGAGGACAGGCATGACCCAGCCGTTATATGCTTGTGTCTCATTCACAACGGACAAAAGGCTGTTAAGCACTTTGGTCAAGCGTGCATAAAACACGTCGCAAACTGACTGTTTCATACCAGCCTCATCGATAACGATGTTCTGTGACATACCCAGGTATCGGTATGTTTCAGCCTCGGAAAGGGTCCTTATGTTGACGGGCATAGATAAGTCTATGCCCTCAGAGTTAGCAACCCTTCCCTTTTCAACATAGAGGACCGCACACTTATCCGTCCCCAGCTCCATTCTAATAGAATTGCTAAATTCACAAGTGATGTTTAGCAATTCTATAAGATGGGAGCGATTGGAGGCGAATAATTTGAGGTCATCCATATAGAAAGGTGGGTCACTTTTGCACCTCCTTTTCGAAGCTGAAATCCCCTCCCGTTGCCCTCCAGTAAGGTACTTCAAAGAGAGGCAGAACCAGATTGGACAGTCAAATAAGACAGTCGCCCTGGAATATACCCCTTCTTATCCTTATGCGGCTTTCCGCAGCCGTCATCCGCTCGCCTAGATGACAGAGGAACCACGGAAAAAAACCAATCCACTTTTGAGCGCGTGACATCACCTGATTTGAGTCCAGGTGACGAGTTATTCTCGCGCTCAAAATGGATGTTAGTGTCTTGTATATGGTCGGTAGACACGTGATAGGGCGGTATTTGCTCGGGTTTGTGGCACCCTGATCTTTAGGAACCAAATGAGTGATCCCAGTAGTGAAGAGGCTCGGGAGCGACTTCTGGTTGAGAGCCTCTTGAATCTGTCGGGCGAGCACAGCGTGATACACCATGAACCCCTTCAGCCAGTAGTGGTGCAGTCCGTCAAGCCCCGGACTTTTCCAGTTAGGGGCCCTACGGACCGCCACAGCTACGTCATCCGGCGTTATGATGACGGGGTCCATGGGCTTAATACCCGCACACTGACTCGCCACAACTTCTGTCCAAGGGCCGTCGTTGTGGTTTACGGGCTCTGACCAGAGGCTGCGCCAGAATGCGACCGTGTCAGCCTAATTTAGTGCTGGGCCCGTTCCACTTACCATTGGTCGCTCCAATGATTTATAGAGCCTCTTCTAATCACTCTGGAAGAGACGATTCTGGTTGAACCGTGTCGACCTCTTGCTGAATCCACTTTCCCCAAGCAGCGATTCTTTGCTTCAGGTCGTCTATGCGCTCCGTCAGTTTTTGCGTTATATTCGGCTGGGACAAACTAACATTTGTCCCAGCAAACGCTATCCTGACGGTGCGCACAATCTTCGGACTGGTATTGTCTGACCTGAAGTATATCAGTCTGCCGATGAGGGCCCTAGCCTTTGCGATACGTTCTTCAATTCTTATTCTCCAGGCTGGGGTAGCACTACTTTGTCCAGTAGCGCGTCCAGCTGTGGATATTTTGGCGCCTATATTACGGCAGACTGCCAGTACGGCGCCAAAAAAAATTGAGTCCGTCTCGCAAAGGTCCCGGCTGGCTTCCAAATAGGTCACTAGCATTGGGTTCAGAGCCCTCACGACAACAGCCCGATTCCTATTGCTTAGGGCTATGCGGGGAAGTCGCGGTCGATTTTTGAGAGGCGTACTGCGCGTTTCCACAATCGCCTCTTCCAATGTACTCCTCATTTGCTCTAGTTCCAGTTCCTTGGCGACTGTTTCAACATCGTTTGAATCAACCACAACTGGAGTATCCACGGCGGCATCCACGTTTGCCGTTTGCTCGGCAAGTTGTGGCGCCGCATCCTCAGCCGCAGCATTTTCGCCCGATGAAGGAACAGCCTCACATCGTAGCCGTTCGAGTTCCGTGACGTCAAATGTATTTGAGCGCAAGATATACCGAACTCGGTCTGCCAGGTTTTGATGACTCGGTGACGGTTACAGATGGCTCCAGCTTAGCAAAAAGTCGATGCATCCTTGCCCGATACGCAAAACCTCCAGTTTCTCCCCCTTTCGCCCTAAAATACGCCCGCAATGCGTTGCTGTTCATCTGGGTTGTCCAACGCATGCGGCGTACTCCACCAGTGGCGGGTGCCGATTGCTGGGCCCGCGAAGACTCTGCCGACACCAAACCAGCTGGTTATTATTATTATGTATATATTATATGTTATAGATGTCTATCTTGAGCCTGTTTCTATCATATTTCTATAAATGACTGTACACAACCGAAGGAGATAATTGGAAGAAAAATAATACATACGAATTCCGATTATCCACCCCGTGTGGGGTGAATAAATGAAAATGCGTATCCGAGAATCCACCCTAGGATGGATTCTTTAGGGTGGATAAACGGAATAACCCAATCTGGTAAATCAAACTGAAAACTGACAGACAGAACTGAGTTTCTGCTACTGGATCTTCATCCAGATCTTAGCTAAATTCAGCGATTTGGATCTTTTCCCATCAATCCTATCAATTAAATAAAATTGAAAATCAAAGAAGGTTAAATGTCAAAAGTGCAATATTTCACTTCGAGTTGTGTTTTTAGGTAGTGCTTATATAAAGGAAAATTTTAATTTTTTTGATTAAATAAACAGATAAGAAATTGCGTACCATGTGTGTACAGCGCAAGCTTTGTCATCTGGAACGTAGTTATTAATGTAGAAAATATGCGCCCACCAGTATTGTCTACAATCTGATACGACACCCGAAACGTAAAGTTTCCACAATGGACCGGATCCTAGGTATCGGAGCCAAGTGGCTGTGAACAAAATCACCAAAGCATTTGCCGGTGTCAACCTGAAAAATATTTAAAAGTTTAGGCTTAGGAGAAAATTCAAACAATTCTTGAATAATTTTTGTTAGTTCATGTAATTCATTGTAAATTGAATAAACTGTTATAATGTGTGATGACGGAAGATTTCAATACATATTACCTCATTACGACCCGTGGGTGTAGTAAGAGGCGATTGGAAATGACAGAATTGTTTCAAACTCTATATAAAATAGAATAATTTTTATTTAATGTAGGTTACAAGAATATCTACTTTTTGAAAGCCATTTTTAAATAAAAAAAAAAAAAATATATATATATATATATATATATATATATATATATATATATAATTATGTGTGTATGTATATATAATTGAGGATAAAACATTTAGAAATAGTAGTGTAGCGATTACCTTGCCCGTGCAGGAAGTCGATGGATGCAGGTGGCTAAGGACCGTGCTTTGTGGCATACCTTGGGGGACGCCTATGTTGAGCAGTGGACTTGTGAAGAATAATGAAATGATGAAGCAGTTTTAACCCTTTCGTTGTTCCGTGTACTACATAAAGGTCATTGCTATTGTCTTACTATTGTGTTTGAAAGTCTGACAGTGAAATTGTTAACAAGTTGTGTACGGATAAAAAACACTGTATTGTGATTGAATTTATTATGTACACTCTATAACTTCAGTCCAACTTATTGGAATGAATGGTAACAAGTTCCCATAAACTACAAAAAAAAATCAGTCACGTTTTGCTGATTTGTGACGCGTCCTGAGAGTTTTCTTCACAATTATTATTGATTTGATTGTTAATATTTTTGTATAAAATATTTACATGCCATTAAGACATAAGTAATTATTTCGTTAATAAAACTTCGTGAACAAAAATAGAGAGTAATACCAAGATTGATCTAGACTAAACATTATCCGAAAAATTTAGAGATTTTATTATAAAAGAAATATTGGAAGTAAAAATAAATGGTCTTTAATGATTATCTGAAGACTAAATAACACCACATTCATAGATCTCACACAGGCGTAGTCAGAGCGGGTCGCTGGTTATAAATGTTATTTAAAAATTGATATACCCATTTGGGTATACAATTCTTTTCAAAATTTTTGCTATCAATAGAAAATTCCCAACTAAACAAATAACACAAAGTTATAATGATATACATTTATTAGCGGGTTTTCGCTATTGATACTGGTATTTGTAGTTCTATTCTTTAGCCGTACGGTTGTTTGGGTATCGATGTTCGTTCTTGTGCATTTTATATGTATACTCTGAGTATACTCTCTCCACGACACAGAAGAAAATCCAAATGTAATTTTTTAAGTTAAAAAAAGGTTATCAACCTGGCAATCATGACGATTATGGCAAATTGTTTCTCGAGTAGGGAGACTGATGTCCATTAACAGACTGTTACTGGATACTTATGATGGAGAAGAAAAATAAATTGTGTTTTATTACAAAATAAATAATAAACAAAACTGTATCAGAAACAAATATAGCAATTTTTTAACATACCTCCAAAATCTATTAATAAAAATAGTGGGCCACATTGACCATGTTATTGGTACAGTCTCCGACAAAATTTCCAAATTGTAGACCATAAGAAAGCCAGACATTACGAAAAATATCTGCACTATCATCATACCATTGAATATCAGTTGATAGTGACTGCTTTCGGAGCCCTATAACAAAATTAAATTTATCTCAGTATTCTTCATCGAGGTTATATTTTAATTACTTTTTATTTACTAAACCCAAAAACTAATTTTAGCGAATTCGAAACCTCGATTACATGATCAGCAATCGCGCTTGCGACCACTTTTTTATATGGGGAAATGCCTACACATACCCGCCTCGCGGGTATGCGTAGGGTATGGTAAGTTTTGCGTGACAACAAGTTTCGGAACCCGCGCCTACGTCACAGTGCACGAGTGAAGCCGGCCACAGTCGAGCGTTTGCCTGCTATACGAGCTCGTATTGCCATATGTCAGTGGTGTCACTGACAAGATTGGCTACATCTTGAAGCGTGCTCCCATTAAAATTTTCTTCATGCTGCCGAAGATTAGTCAGTTTTACAATCAGTTAAGTGTAATATTCCTCTGCAAAATCAGACCTCCCGTGACCATGGGTGCTGTAAAGTGCTTGAAACGTTGTTACGTGGTAGAGCCAAACTGCAGCTATATTAGCAGAATGGTTGTAGCATGAATGGGTCAGCTCCACCGGGGAGGGACTGAGAGCGTTCACAGAATACCCGCGTAAAATTGCAGCTTAACGCTGCTGTTTTGTATTGTGAGTGTAGAAAACTGGAGACCCTTCTTACTGTATGGGAGGCATTCCATCTTAGGGCGCACTGGTAACAAATCATCTGCATTTTTATTCGTAATTGAATATAGATGTAGATGTCCATGGGCTACAGTAACCACTTACCATCAGTTATACTGTGCGTTCGTTTGTCACCCTTAGCCTATATAAAACGTCGGAAATATAAAATAAGTAAATATAATTAATAAGGTCCGTAAAAACTAGTTTTATATAAATGTGTAGTCTCCATTTTTTCTAGATAGTTTTAATAAAACTTTTATTTTTGTACCAATAACTTATTGTTTTATTTAAAATCAATTAATTTAAAATTATATGCATAACTAGCTTTCAAGGCAAACGCTATTCTGCCATTTTCGACGACCCTGCCATGTTGTATTAAAAATCCTTAATAAAGTAACTTTTGCTCGTAAGGATTATTATACCGTGCCTAATAATAACGCTTCTAACTCACATTTTAATATTCAATAAAATTTTTGACTACAAATGACTTATTGTGGCTTATTTATAAGATATATATAGTATATATATATATATATATATATATATATATATATATATAAAAATATATATATATGCCGCTAAAGGATGTCTTGAAAAATAAAATTGACATAATATGCCAGTCTGTTGTCTTATTTATTGTCACCTCATAAGTCTGTATTTTGAACTTTTAACTAAAAAACTAAAGTATTTTTTTTGTTTGATTTTGTATAATATTAGTTACATAATAAGAATTATTTTTATTAATAATGAGAGTGGTATAACATTTCACAAGTAAGTGAATTTGCAGCAAATATTAAACAAATTAAAACTATTTGATAATATAAGTACTTAAAAATTTGTTACTAATATTAATAGCATATATACCAACATGTTTGGGTGTATATTATTGAGTTTTGATAAACAATAAAATTCAATAGGGTTGTCGAGTTCCTTGCCTATAATACTTATCGATGTTCTTTCCTACCCATATGTGTTAACAAAAAAAGTCGCCAACAACGGATGATTATCAAATGTTTATTAATTAACAGGTTTCCAACAGAACCTAGACTAAAATTATGGCTTAAAAGCGTAAATATTGTGAATTGACGTCCGAAACAAAATGATCATATTTGTTTCAAACATTTCACAGACGACTGTTTTATTAGACATGAGAACTGCACCACTTTGAAAAAGTGCAGTATACCGACAATATTTTCTGGTAGTATCAGTACTAGTAAGTATAAAAGTATTAGATTATTATTTGAAATGTTTTTTTATTTCTTCTTTCCTCATTTTCCACCAAACTCAAGGGCCATAGCCAAGTGTCGAAAGGTCGCCTGTTGATGTCGAGCCACGTTGGATGTGTGTTTATGGGCTGCGGCTAGAGGAGATTTCTCTCCCTGTACCGCTGTAGTTGAGGTGGAGTAGTAAGGGAAGACGAGTGTTGGTATGGCGATGTGCGATGCGCCACTCGACTATCTTTCGCGTCCTTAGTGAGGCTGTACCACTTGATGCTTCCAAGTGCTCGTTTTTTCCTGGCTCCATTCCCATATCGGGCTCGGAGAGTCCGTAGTGCAGCTCGTATCTGTATAAATGTTTCCTCGGTTTAAGATCTTTGTGGAATATTTAAAAACGATACCAGGAGACCCGACGGTATGGGTTTTGTTGCTTGAGAGAGAGAGAGAGAGAGAGAGAGAGAGATAAAGCTTTAGTGTGGGATACTACTTGCGAACACTTTGACAGCATCCCATGGTGGCATTAGAGGCAACTGAACCAAGTAAATATTCCAGAGTATCTGGAAGATAAGTACATATTTGTGCAATTTGCTGTAGAGACTATTGGTCCGTACGGTGCACGTGCGGTGTAGTTCCTGAAAAACTGTGTCTGCGAATGATCATCGCTGCTGGTAATAAGAAGTTGTTTAGTTTGTTGTTTCCTCGCCTGAAGGCTAAGTATAGCCATTCAGTGAGGACATGTAGCCAGCATTCTTGGTACGATATCACAAAAAGTAGGAATTAATGATAATTTCAGTTATTTTTTTTAATATTTCAATTTCGAAAATGACGTTTTAAATAACTGATAATGTAATATGTAATACAAAGTTTATATTTTTTATATTATCTTGCTAGCTAGTACCCGGCGCATTGTTGCCGCAGAAGAAGTAATTGTGGAAATATCGTTAAAATGTGGAACAGTTATATTGTATAATTAGGAGTGATAATACAATCATTGAAATATAATGATATATAACTTTCTATAACTTTCAAATAAATAGTCAGTATAATTCGCACGCCATCTAGTGTCAGTTAATTGTACTATGCGTATAACCTTCGCACAAGTGCAACCAATAAGTTTACTAAGTTTTACCGCAATCTGATGAACGGTATAGCAACGTGGAATGTACGAACAAACATAAATTTTTATATAGTAGAAAATATTTTACTGTCTATAAACAGACCTGTAGTTGATTAGAATAGTCGTTATTATAGCAGCTGATTTGTTTTTTTCAATACTAGAACTAAATGAACGGGTGACAATAAATTATTTTAGAAACTATGTCTTTATTTTTATTTTGTGTAATTAGTTTAATCTTAATAATTTTTAGTTGAATGGTCTAAGGGCTATGATGGCTATCAAAGTACAGAACCAGAGTACAATACCAATCCAAATGTAGAGATGTGTAAAACAGAGTGTGGTAATATCCCCGAAATAATTTACCGCTGCATTGAAAGACGTTTTCAAGCTACTGGATTGGAAAGGATACGGTATTAACGTCGATGGCATGTACGTCATTCACCTTCGATTTGCCGACAATATAGTCCTTAAGGCAGAATCGCTGGAGGACCTACGCACTATGTTCAATGACCTCAATCGTGTCTCCCAACGGATAGGTCTTAAGATGAACATGGACAAAACAAAAGTCATGTGTAATGTCCATGTCACACCTATGCCGGTGGTTTTTGGGAGCACTTAGCTGAAGTTGTTGACGAGTATTTTTACTTGGGACAAATAGTCCGACTAGGTAAGTTCAACTTCGACCAACAGGTCAATCGATAGATTCAACTCGGCTGGCCAGTGTTCGGGAGATTACAACACATCTTTTCGTCAGGAATACCTCAAAAATAGATTGTACAACCGTCTGTTGCCAGTGACCCTATATCCGAGACGAGGTCTTTCACTGCTATCTGTATGAGGAAGCTCGAAGTCGTTCAGCGAGCTATGAAGGGGGCTATGCTCAGGGGTTCAAACTTAGGAATGAAGATATCTGCAGCAGAACCAGAGTGACCGACATCGCCCAATGGATTAGTAAGCCAAAGTGGAGATTGACCGGCCATATAGCTCGAAGAACCGAATACCGATGGGGAAAAAAGGTTCTCGAGTGGCAGCCTCGTACCGGCAGGTCAAGTGTAGGACGTTCCTCCACTAGATGGAGTCAAAAACTCGTAAGACATGCAAGAAGTTGATGGATGCAGGTAGCTCAAGACCGTGCTTTGTGGCATTCCTTGGGGGAGGCCTATGTTCAGCAGTGGACTTGTGAAGGGTTTTAATAATGATGAATGATAATGGCATTATATTAATATGATACATAAATAGAATGGACGTTACGGTTAGAGTCCGTCTATCCATAGAGTCTATTCTATTTATTTAGGTATAGGTAAGGTATAGAATTTTTATCGATATAATTTGGTACACTGTTTATCCCTATTATTAGTTCAGTGGACGTGCACTTCTGCTGTCAGCGCCAAAATGGAGGAAATCAAATCGCTTCAGCATGTTACGGTGTATAGCCAGTCCAGCGTACTTGTATATATAGAGGTCAGTGGTTAAAGACCAATATTTTTGTAGAAAATTGTATTTATGCATCACTAGCCATTACGCTGGTGCACGCGGAAAAGCATTTTGGGAGAACTTTTTTATCCGACCTGCTTTTACCAAGAACCAGTATTTAAAGTTAGCTGCGAGATGTAGCCTAATGCTAGATGGCCTATACTATTTCTTATGAATTTGGCTATCATATACCAAAAGAGTTTTACAAATCGGGCTAGCAGTTCCAGAGATTAGCGTTTTTAAAGAAATTAACAAACAAAAAACTCTTCTGCTTTATAATATTAATAATATAGTATGTATTTCGATAAAGTATGCTTATGTTATAATCTCACCTTTTCAAATTCCTGAGGATTATCAGTGAAGCCGGTTCCGATAAGCCACATCACATGCGCTAATGGTATGAAGAAACTTATCAGGGCTCTGGAAAGTTTAATATAGGTTTTGATGTCTTTTTTATTGTTTTTTAATAAAAGTAAATGTTGCAACGTATATACGCAAAAATGCTCGAAACAGGTTTCAAGTGAAACAGCTAAGAAAAAAATATTTCGAATGTTTTTTTTAAATTATTAAGAAACATATTTTACATTAATGGCACTTAGAGTGAGGAATACAAAAGTTTACTTCGCAGATTAATTATTCCTATTACTCTGTTGTAGTTACTCAATGGTGCAAAAAATATTGAAGACATTTTGATAAAACTTGGCAATATTATAGATATCAATGCAAAAATGGTGATGAGCCGTGGTAGCACAGATGGTTAACGCTCGCTGCAAATATAACAGAACGCGAGTAACCCGGGTTCGATCTCCGCCGGCACCAATGAAATTGTTAATTGCATATTTAAGTGCTGATTTACCACGTGCTCGGCGGTGAAGGAAAACATCGTGAGGAAACCTGCATGTCTGAGGAACAAGGAAAAAAAATATTACGAAGACATGTGAAGTTTGCGAACACGCATTGGGGCAGCGCGGCGGACACTTCCTTGCCCTAAAACCCTCTCAGAAACTAGGGGAGGCCTGTGCCCAGCAGTGGGACGTATATAGGCTGTAACTTTACTTTTTTTACTTTACAATGCAAAAAAAGGACCAAGGCTATAATATATTTAGTAAAAAGCTCGAGATTATCCTAAATTACAGTTTTTAAAGTTATGGTGCTAATTGTGTAAAATTTTTGGCGTACGCTGCGTTAACTATAATAGACTACCCGCCCAGGCAGACGATGTTCTGCCCTTTCCGAGGACCCTTTTGGCTATAAAGAAATCTAATCCTTAAATTTGAAATAAAAAATATTGAGGGTCACTTATCGAAAAAAAACTGTCCTATCTCTCAAGTTAGACCAAACTGCACACAGTATGCGAAATTTCATTGAAATCAGTCCAGTAGTTAAGGACTGCACCGCGGACAAACAAATTTTTATATATAACGATAATAACGGGGTGCGGTGAAAGGCGAATTCTTCCTTCTCTTAACCATAGCTTGTCGTCAGTGATATAATAGTAGGTTGTTGCTTACGGGCTTTTAATGTAAGAGAAAGAAGTATATTTACCGTAATCCATGTAATCCCTTAAGTCGTGCAAGTCGAGAATCTTTTACTTTGATTGAGCTCAAGCATTCCCAATTTCGTCGTAAGGAGAAACATAATATTATGTTACAAATTCCTGAAAAGGTAAGTACATTATTTTTTCAATCAATTAAAAATATTGAATAAAACTTAAGAAATCACAATTAAAAATAAACAAATGTCAATTTAATTATAATATTAATTTTTTTTTATTTTGAGGACCTATTCACATCCCAAGTGCAGATTAGCTCAAAACAGTTCTTTTTGAATCTGTTAATGTCTAACAACCGCTTAAATTACACAAATATGAATTACTTATAACTTTACGAAATTTCATCGTGTAAACAGTTGTAATGGATTTGTTTATATTAATACAATATTTGTGGATTCTATTAAGAAACTAAACAGAGGTTTTCTTAATTTACATTTTAGTGTAAATTTCAAAGCTAAACAAAATATCTGATATCGCTGACAAATTTAACCTCTTAGCTACCAAGCGTTCAAATTTGACCGCGGCGATATTCCGTCAAAATTCAAGAGGTTAAATGTGACCGCACCCACCCACAGAACTTTAACACATAAATACTAATGTTTAGAGACTACTTTTCTATGAAGAAGTTTATAATAATAATAATAATATTATTTATTGACATAAAATTTGTTACAATATTATTTAAGCCTCTGACTCCCGAGCTAGGTTAGAAAACCTGTGTTACGAGAGTCAACGATCTCCCTAATATAATGACAGCTACTTATTTTATGTAAATAAAGCAATTTTAAAATCTGTGTGTGCGTGTGTGTATGAGTGTGTGCGTGTGTGCATGTGCGTGTGTGTGGGTGTGTGCATGTGTACGTGCGTGTGTAGTTTAGCATTATAGAACCAATATGAAATTGTCTAGACTCTAGTGGATTAAAAATTCAGTTAGTCTATGGATATTTATTTATAATCTTCTTCATTTCGTATACCATTTTCTTGTGAATGTTATTGTGTTGATTTTTGAATTTTTCTAGTGTTTTATTAGTGTTCTAGTTTAGTGTTTTATTATAAAATTGTATATTTATTTATAATCTTCTTCATTTCGTACGCCATTTTCGTGTGAATGTTATTGTGTTGATTTTTGAATTTTTCTAGTGTTTTATTAGTGTTTTATTATAAAATTGTAATGAAAGTCTTTGTGTGAATATAATTTATTTTTTACGTAAATAATTTCAAGAAATATATAGAAATAATTGTTATTTTCACGCTGCCGACATCCGCTTGATATTTTTTTTATTATCAAAATACAATAAAATCTTTTTCTAAATAAAGTGAAAGAAGTAAAAGACTTTTATTTAGACCACAGGATAGACAATTTTTAATAGATTTTATAATGCCTCACTTCTTCACAGAAAAGTATTCTCTTAATATAAGTTTTAATGGTTGAAGTGAAGTGCTGTGGGTTGGTGCGGTCGAATGCGACCGCTCAGGATTTGACGGACGCATGCGACTGCATGGGATTTTTAAGGGGATTGAAACAAAAAATACAATCAATCTGACGAATCCCAAGGGAAGTAGTTACTAGAAAAGAAATTACGATTTAGGTTATATATTATACATAAGAAATTAAAAATTTAAACCATGTATAAAAATGATTATTTTCACCAATTTATATCACTTAATTTAATATAGTAATAGCTTAATATGTTAAAAGAACATCTTTTTAAACCCTTACCTCTTAAAATAAAAAATATACTAGCTTTATTATTTTTCTATAAATATTTTAAAGTACTATATAACAACTCCGCGTTTTTATTAATTCAAATTAGACAGCCATTGGCTAGGCTTTTCCCAAAGAGAAGTCACGTAGCTCGGTTCTCTACCTGACGTTTGCTATGCATAAGAGGATAATGCACTATTATGGTACTATCAACAAGTCTTACTCCTTTAGTAAGTGACATTTTATTTTGATGGCAGACAATATTTATTTTAGAGTGACAACAAATTATAATTCAGATTAATAAATATAGAAAATAAAACCAAGTTATTTTTAGCAAAAAAATGGAAACGAAAATTTTTAAAGGATTTAACTAAAAGTTTGGAAATTTATCTTATACTAGCTGGTTAGTTACGTATGATTTTACATAAATAACAAGGTTTATGTGCTTACTTGTTTATTATTTTATTTTAAGGTAATGTAAGGAAATTCCAAGTACTGATGAGATAAGAACGGAAAAAGTCAAAATTAATAAGATTTTATTTTATTATTTTACTTTAGGTACTATTATTGCCTTTTTAAATTTAGGTGCTAAAATGTGTAGTTAAAGAATGTAAGCCAAAGATAGAAGAATGGTTGCGATTTCTTAAGGAGCAGTATAAATAAAGAAAAAAGAGCTAGCCTACATTAAAATAATAAACTCCTTTTCAAAATATGTGGTGAGAATTTAAAGCTCGAAATAGTTTCTCAGGCGATAATAAAATGAGCATAAATCAGCAATTTATAGCAAAAATTAAAAATTCACTGGTGTTGGATATATCCAGCTAAATATTGTTCTTGCCTATGGAAACATTCCAACGTACCTCTACGGTCGTATGAAGCAACTCGTATTTAAGTTTGATAATGGTGGTAAAAAACAGTGGGGCATGTAAAACTCATATGAAATATATCGTGTCAAGGAATATTAATGATAACCGTAATTGGAAATGAATTTTTCGTTTTCGAATGTTTATTACGGCACAAGCTACGATGCTTCCTTTGATGTTGCGACAGTTGGTGACCAGCACAGTAAAGAAGTCCTACCAACTTGAAAACTAAAATCTTATTCTTCAAGCCCATTTGTCATGTCTATAAAAGTATATAATAAATTACCCGAATATATAAAATACATTAAAGACGAAACACCATTCGTAAAAAAATTAAAGCAACTTATAAACAACTATAGAATAAATGCAGTAGAAATGCGGTCGCTAAGGAGTATGTTAGGGCTGAATCTGAGTGACAGGGTGAGAAACTGTGTGATAAAAGAAGAGTGTGGTTTGCAAGATGATGCGGTGACCAGGATTAAGAAAGGAATGCTTCGGTGGTTTGGTCATGTAGAAAGAATGAATGCGGAAAGACTGACAAAGCAAATATATGTTGCAGAAGTGAATGGAAGAGTAGGAAAGGGACGTCCTAGGCGGAAGTTTGTCGACCAAATTGGCGATATACTAAAAATGGGCCAAATTAAGAGTACCCTTAACCGACGAGCATGTATGCGTAGGTATATGAATGTGGAAGAGGCGAGAAAGGTATGTCAGGATCGTGCTAAATGGAAGTCTGTAGTCTCTGCCTACCCCTCTAGGTGACAGGCGTGAGTGTTTATGTTATGTTACTATAGAACTTCTGAATTTTAAGATGATAGAAATATAACATAATATAGATATGTAAATATAAATATGTTAAAAATGAAATGCCATCCTACTAAATAATTTACAATAAAAATTTCTAATAAAATTTAAAATGATTTAATAAAAATTAAACTGTGCTAATTATAGTAACTACAATAATACCTTAAATGTAAAAATCAATTAATTCATGAATAATAACAAATATAATAACCGTATTTTAAATGCAATGTACGTATGTTTAAATATTAAATGTTAATATTAAATAATTATTCAACAATAATAATAATTAATCAAAATAAATGTTCCACCTTCATAATGTTGCTGTGCCCATCAGGGTCTATAGATATACCATAAAACTATGTAACATCCTTTGTAACCTATGGAATGCAATAAAGTTATTGAGTATTGAGTATTGTCCTGTACTGTGTGGTAAAAAATATTATTCATTGGTATGTTCCCGGTCCCAAAAGAAAAGATCTAGATCCATTATCACCAAACCAGACCAGATCTTACGTCATTCATGAAATTTTGTGGATTCAACAGGTGAAAGTTCTTTGTGATACCACGGACTGATTTATTCACATTTGATTGCTGATACCAGTACCTATGGTTATATCAGAATATACTCAACCTGTATCATAATTAGTAAAGTACCCAGAGCAAAAATTTTATTGAAAAGTGCACAGTTTAATAGAGTGCAAAGGCGCTCTTGAAAACTATAAGAAAAGTTGACAGCTTCATGTTTTGTCAGAGTTTGAAAGCTGCTTGAAAATACTAACTGTGCTCTGTGCTAGCTTCCCGAGAATTAGAAAGTGCTTTAAATGATAATATACATGACTATAGATTACACATATACCAAAATTTTTTTTTATTGGTGCCATTCCATGCGGCAAATATAAATCTAGTTCTTTACAAGTGAAATGTTCATGATCCGGTTATAATGTAGAAACCGAAGGAACAATCAAACAAAAGGAAAATGAATTTTATACCAAGTTTGGGACCAGTTACGAGCAACTGATCAAAATATGTGTATTTGCCTGTAGACAGGCGACGGTAAAATTAAATTCAAAATTCGTAAAAAGGACGATCAATTCCGGAAGAAAAACGTGGAACACATTGCGCACTATCGTCCTTTAAATGATATGTTTTAAGTTATTTGTATTACTTAAAACATATCGTAAAATTAAAACCTTTTTCTCGTAAAAATATTTTAAAACATATCGTAAAAAGTACAATAGTGCGCAATTCTGTATTATTCGCCTACGTTTTTGTTGTCAGATGTCAGATGAAGCTTCTATGTTCATTGATTTATTGTATTACAAACTGGATTAATCAAAATCCTTAATTTTTCTAAGTATATGATCATAGAGGAAATTAATTTATCAGCAACGTTTTTTGTTTCGCTAATAGCACGTCAATAGAGGTATCTATGGAATGAAAAAAAAAAAAGGCAACAACCTTGTAAAATAATGAAGGTGATATTAATACATTTATCTTATTTCGTACCATGTTTAACGTCATATGTGTAAAGAGTTCAGCTACAAGAATTTTGTTTTTATTTTAGGACTCTCGCTATGCCAGTAATTAATCTGAGCTACGTTCTTGATTAAATTCTGTGACAAATAAGCATTACAGTCTACCTGGTAAACCTCTACCAGTTTCTCACAAAATTAATTTCTAATGTTGGAACAACAAAGTGGAAAATTCAATTTCTTAGCACATAACCCCACGCACATCTTTTTTCTTTCTTTATTAGCCCGTTAAAGTTACTGCGGACACACATGCAACCAAAACAATGTTGTCGGTTGCAAATAATTTTAGATGCATATAATGTACGAAAGTGCATACTGGCATGTGCAAGTGGAGCATACTTTCGGCGTCATTTGCAATGTACGAAGTGTTCTGTCTATGTTTTTATGTCGGTCTAAGATTTTAGTTTTGCACTTCCGTAATACAAGAGCATACTTATTGTGAAGATACAATAAATAGATTGTACGATTGATTCATGACAATTAGTGGCTGATGTAGTCTATAGCCATAACACTAATTTCCAAAAAGGAAAAAAGCACTAGGCCCATATTACTCTAATTGACACAAATTCATCACCTCATCATCATGATACAAATTATGATATCCAAAAACACTTACCGTTAATGTATTTGTCTCTTTCTTTGTTGTGAAAATATTTTTCCAACATGAAATCGCAACAGCTTCCTATAATATTGATTGATACTAAAACTACCAAAATTCCACCGAACAACCAATCACTCCAGTCGTATTCTATTATTTCGTCTTTTTGATTGCAATAGAATATATGTGCGAGTTTTGCTTGAAGGCCGTATTTATTCCAAATAGTTTGATTAAGACATGCCTCAAGGCCTCCATTCAAAGTATTAGAATTGGTATTGTTTATGTATTTCTGACATTGCTTGGCCACACATACTCCTCTTTCTATGTATGAGTGATTATAATGTCTTTCTGTGTATTCCGAGTATTCCTGTAGATATTAATCATTACTTAGTAAATATTTTTGTATCAGCTTTTTTGCCTATTCCTAGAATCAATTATGTACAAACAATAATTTCAAAAATGCGTTAACTAAGATTTGCCATTTCTTATATAATTTGGGTAGGCGGATTGATTAGCTCATTGTACTTTTATTGTTATTATAAAATTCAGTAAACAACTAGCTTACAGTCTATCTAATGATCAGTGGTTACTGTATCATCCTATGCCTATGTCTATCAGCATCCAATGTCCTATGTCTACCAGCAATTTACTCCAAGTAACGAGAGCTCTAGATGATGAAATAACACTAGTTTTTACGGATTTTATCGCGTATATTTAACTATAAATACCCGACGTTTCGAGCGCTTTACAGCACCCATGGTCACGGGGAGGACTGAATTGATATGATGTGAAGAATCGACGCTCCGGGAAGTCTGCAGTCTGTGAACACGTACAGGATCGCCCCCGTCACTACATCATATTTGATAGACCACAAATCCTCGCTAAAGAACACCGAGTCCGTCCAAGGATGATTCGCGAGGCTATTGAAATCAAAAAACATCCTAATTTAAATAGAGAAGATGGCTGGGTGCTACCATCTGCTTGGGATCCTATAATAAATAAAATTAAATCCCAACCCAAGCATACAACTGTAAGACTTCAAGATACCATAAGTTCATACTGTGTAGATCGGAACAAAAGTTAAATTTTTATCTATGGTAACCGCTGTTAACTATGACATTTAGACGTTGAACGTCTCAGTCCTCCCCGTGACCATGGGTGCTGTAAAGCGCTCGAAATGTCGGGTATTTATAGTTAAATATACGCGATAAAATCCGTAAAAACTAGTATTATTTCAATGTGTAGTGTTCGTGTAAATATAAGAAATCATTAGCTATAAATGTGTTGGGTCTTTTGAGCTGACTCTCTGACTAGTATATAATTATCTGTGGAGGTGATTGCTTCAAAGCTTGTAATTATACTGGCTTTTCGTACCCAAAACAGCAACATTTTCCTAATAACGACTTAAAAAAAAACTATGGTTGTCAACCATCTTGTCAGACGTAGAAACTTTTGGTAATCTTCGGGGGAGACCTATATTCAGCATTGTACTTTACTAAGCTGTTACGATGAAAATAATTGTTTCGTGTCATCGGTGTGTTGTTGGACAAAAAGCTTGGATGGCGCGCACTTGACAGTCCATACAGCCCCCGCGGCTGTTTATGAATACACTGTGTTTTTGTTATGGAAATGCTTTTTGATGGACAAAGCTAAATAACAAATAATTTCCAATCTGTAATTCGTCGATGAATTTGAAGATTTGACAGTCGAAAATCGTCAATTAAATCGCGCCAATTCAGTGCTTGTTAATTGTATTTCTTATTGCTTGGTTATTGTTTGATCTTGTTTATTATTGCTAAAACATGAGAATATCTATAAATATAAATTAACATTAATATTTGCACGCCGTTTTATGTGTTTTCATTCGCTTTTGTTGCGAAATTAATGTTTTTTTTTTTACGAAAATTGGGTACCGTCACATTTAAACGAGTTTATTACCTCGCTTTTAGCGCTAATGTTATATTATAATATAAGCTTAGGTGAGAAAAACGTTTTTAATACAGTAATTTTTTTTCTGTAAAAATCACCTCATTATTTTCATATAATACAAGAAAACACGATTTATTATTATAAAATATGATTTTTTTTGGTCCGGGCAGTATTAGATAGCTGCAATGGCGTTTACTGTTCAAGGGACATATGACCTATTAATTAGAAATGAGTCAGGAGTACTCAGGAGCAACAGTCCGCCAGCAGTCAGTCTGTCAAATCTCTCAACAAGTTATAATTTTTTTTACCCTAAATTCAAATAATTTGTAGTTTTATATGACATTCTTGTCCTTGACTTTGTACACTTCACTTTAGATATCTAGTAAAAATGACTTTTCATTTAGCAAATACACAGCAATTGTGAATCTACTTACTTTAATCATGGTGACGAGATCATTTGGCGAATCTGCGAATAAATCAAGTCTTGCTAAACAATACAGGCTGTTTGATTTTCGTAAGCATGTGCCGTAGTCATCTAGTTCAAACAAGGGTGGCATTCGTCGATATTCAGTATCTGGAAAAGACACACACAGGCACAAACCGTTTGAAAAATAAACCTGGTGTTTATATATAGGAGTATATATGTATATATAGATACATATAGATACAAATACAGAGCGTGATGGTCGAGCGAGTTCAGTGTATTTCCCCATCCATAAAGTGCCCAATATGCTTAAAGAAGTTTTCACTATAACAGTTTAAGGTCTATTAATTATATATAATACTTTCATTTAGTTTAAAAAGTATTATTAACGTTACTTTTATTTCAATAACGCTAAAATACTTGTGTTAAGAGTGGTCACGTATTTAATTCCCTGAGTACACTGTGCACGTTAGTTTAATCAAAAATAGCAAGAAATAAATATTAGCCTCGGACAAATCGCACTTCAGAATTGAAAGTAAAGGTCCAATTTATACCGTACAAGTTTTTTGCCTGACTACAACAACGTTAAACAATAATTAACTTGCACCTTGTAAACAATACCTATTTAATATTTTTGCCCGGATGGGCAAGTTGAATTCAAAGCTACGAGTATCAATACTGTATAGTACTTAACGAAACCCACTTTTTGGGAACATGTTGACTGTTGAATGAAAAAAATTACACATCAAAACTGTTACAAGGGAGTCTTTAGACTATTCAAAACTTGACAGTAATTCTCTCCGTTAAAAGATGTTCGTAGTGTCAACAAAAAGATATTTTTAACTTCCCGCTAAGAAAATTAAATCTTTTCAAAAATAGGGAAGTTATTGGTTTCACCCTGATTTTCGAAAATTGAGTTTTCATCAGATCTCGACGTTTTGAGATCCCAGGAAGCTATTTTAATAGTATTATGTGTGACGTTACTTTACAAGATATTGCGTCTTTAATCTATAGTGATTTCTTTTGCAATGTTAGCTCGAATCGATATCGAAATACTCGTTTTTTTAGTTATTTATTTTTATTAGTTTATGTGCCTAAAAATATTTCAAAAAATGGGACTAGATTTATTATTATTCGAACGATCAAGTAAATTATTTTCTATATCATGTGATGATGGTTATTACATTACATTGCAAATAGTCCTTTCGTAAACTTTAAAAACTAATAATTTGGGAGGTGTCAATACTAATAGAGTCTGTTCGACAACGTTTTTTCTTTCGCTAATGGCACATCAATAGAGGTGTCTATGGAATGGAAAAATGGCAACCACCTTGTAAAAGAAAGAAGGTGAGAATAATAAAGCTATCTTATTTTGTACTATATCGAACGTCATATGTATAAAGACTTCAGATATAAGAATTTTGTTCATATTTAATTAAGGACTCTCTCTATGCTATTAATTACTCTGAGGAAAGGGCATAGCATATCTTACGTTAGAACGAGATAGAATGGCTAGACCATACACGTATACGCTATAGACTTATATCGGGCTAACGTCAATCCTTAACGAAACAAATCCAATGATCTCAAAAGGAAGGATAGGGCCATCTAAATATTTTACTCATAACTTTTTCATACAAGAAAAAGTAGCACATTTGTCATAATACAAACGTCATATCATAACACGACGTAACCAGGGTTGTATTTCGTAGTAGTTTCGGTCGGAGTTTGTAGCATATAATATCGTAATAATACTAAGCGAAAATACCATAGTTTTACCTAAAGATCGACTTGTATTAATAATGGGTCCTTTTACTTTTTAATATTAACCCTACGATATCGATAATTTCTGTATTATACATGAGTACCGTAAGTAAAATTAGAATTAACTCCCTTTCTGGTCAATCGGTGCTCAATCGATGCATTTATGTTGCATCCTTGATAAAATTATAATAAGGGGCTACCACGATAAAAACAATCAAATTTGAAAACGAAATTTCAAAATATTTTATGAATCAGATTTTCGGATATATTTTTGAGGGTCTGAATCCAACCTTGGCCTAATCTTGGTAACATAACTAAAGTTACTGTAAAATAAAACTTTAAAAATGCGTTTATATAACAAGTTAATTGTAACAAAATTAATATAAAGTTACCTATGATACTACTACTATGGTAATTTTTGCATCCTTTTACCACGCAACTAGACATATTTATGACAGGCAAATCTGTCCTGAGCGCGCACCACTGTCGACCGATTCGCGTTGGCCTTAAACTGTTATTTTAGGGCCAGCGCACTGGTCCGTTTTAGTTGTTCAGTCAGCCCGGTCCTTACGCTAGTAATATATAAGTCAATGAACAAATCCCGCTTATTTTCGCGGTATCTGATTTCAAAGTATTAGTATGTTTTTAAAAGTTGTAATTAAATATGATGACGTGTACAGTACCTGAATGCAGTTCATCGAGATAAGAAAATCCACCAAATTAAACATTTCACACGTAAGTAGAATTAAAATGTCTAGCACTCTAAATGCAATATTTTAGAACTGGTACAAATGTTTTATGCACAGATGTATAGGGAAAAATATCGGATTTTATTACGACAATGCTCTAAATGAGTAAATCATGATAAGCTAGTATAATCGGGAGTAACAAATACATGAATTCCCGCTATTTCAAATCTTTTTTTTTTAAATATGGCAACCTAACAATTACTGCCAACCTCCAGTCAATAAAAATACTTGTAACTTGAAATGAAACGACGGACAATCTAAAGAGAAACTACGATTCTGATTAAAAACCGAAATCATAATGTTAAGAACCATAGAATACTATTATAATGAATCACGAAATGACTTGTACTGAAGTATATTAAATAAATGATGGATGTTAGGTTGAATTAAAATAATACTAAATTCAAAGCCACATATAAAATAATAAGTATTACTAAATAAAGACGATTGATTGCTAAATAATGAATAAAATTTTATAAACTAATATTATTTAAATCTAAAAATTCCATAAGACAATTGAAAACATTTTTACTTTATAACAAATTAAAAATAGATAACAAATTTATGTAAGCCGAGGAATTTTAAGATTTACCAAAGTGTTAAATAATGAAGTATGATCATATAAAGGACACGAGAAGAAAATATGGTTGAGGTCACCAATATCCAAACCACATTCACATATTGAAGAATTTTTAATATGAAGCCTAGCAAGGTGAACCGAATTACAGCAGTGACCCAAGCGCATTCTACATAACATTGATGTATGTTTCTTATTTAAGGATAATTTATAAAACCAAGGCTTAGAAGGAATGATGGGTTGAATTTTGGCATAGTGACAGCCTTTTGTCGTTTTGGTTTTGTTCCAATGTTTTGACCATCTATCTCTATATACTAATTTCGTAGTTCTTATAAGGTCATAGCAATAATTTTTAAATAAGAAAGTATCCTCACAGACTATAGCTTGTTTAGCAAGTTTGTCAGCATATTCATTACCAGATATACCAATATAACTCGGAATCCAAACGAGAGAAATGTTGATGTTTTGGAATTGGTATAAGAATAGAAGTTTCTTAATTTCAAATATCACAGGATTGCGGGAAATGTCATAGAAAGGATTACATAACAATGCTTGTAAAGAACTAAGAGAATCTGAAAATATCACGCTTGATTTTAATTTAAAAAGATAGCAATATTTTATTGATTGTAAAATGGCTAATATTTCTCCAGTAAAAACTGAAGATTCGGGAGGACTTTTTATTTTTTGAACTATTCTTCAATTTTGAAGGTATATTGCATATCTAGTACAACCTTTTGAGTTAATCTTAGAAGCATCTGTAAAAATATAATGACAATCTGGGAAATTCTTGTCCAACGTAAATACAAATTTTTTATTTGATTCAATAGAAAATTTATTTAATCCTATATCTAATATAACATTGGGTTTGAAAAGTGCAACTTCAAATGAATTGGAGAAAAGAGGCAGAGTCGCCGACCTATAAATAGGATCTAGTAAGGAATTATAATGTTCATAGCTTTTAACTAGGTTATATCTTTATTACGCCAGTATTTTCCTGAATTAATTGAAATGTACTGAGAAAGCAAACGAATTTTAGGGAGTAATGGATGGTTTGAAAATTGAAGAACCTGATAAAAAAAGGAATCCGATAAATATTGTCGTCTAATAAAAAGTGGAGGATCACCGCATTCAATCTGCAAGGCATTGATAGGCGACGAATTTATAGCGCCTATAATTAATCTTAAACACTTGTGTTGAATGATATCTAATATTTTTAATCCCTTTTTAATAGCTGGTTCAAGAAGAAATGAGGCATAATCTAATCGACTTCTTATAATTGCATTATAAATTAATTTTAAATAATATGGATGAGCGCCCCACCATACCCCGCACAAAGCTCTAAGAATGTTTATATTTTTTTCGCATTTTTTTTGGGTATAAATGATATGAGGCATGCCGGATAATTTATTATCAAGAATTACACCAAGGAATTTAGCTTGTTGAATATTTACGAGCGGATAATCAAAAAGGCGAACATGGATTTCAGGTAAAACTCTTTTGCGCGAAAAAATTACTGTGTTACTTTTATTTGCGGAAAGTTCTAGTCCATGATCATCTAACCAAGAGGCCATAGAGAGGAGATCTTGTTCTATCGCATTAGCACAAGATTCTATACATTTATCATTAACATAAACTAAGATATCATCAGCATATTGCAAAATTCTACACTTTGAAATAGACTGGTCCAAATCTGACGTATAAATATTGTATAATAAAGGACTTAAAACAGAGCCTTGTGGAAGGCCTTTGAAAACCTTTCGAGTATATTTTAGATCATCATCAATTTTAATATGTATATATCGATCTAGAAATAAATTGATAATCAAATTTGTAAGTTTTTTGGATATATTAAGGTTAAACATCTTTTATCTAAGGATGTTGAGTCTGACATTATCGTAAGCAGAAGAAATGTCAAGGAAAGCAGCAAGGACCGATTCATTTCTCGAAAATGCTAGTCTAATATCTGTGGTGAAGATAGAAAGACTGTCATATGTGCCTTTACCTCTTCTGAATCCATATTGGGTATTTGATAACAATCCATGACTTTCTATATACCATTC